GGGCCGGGTGCCCCGTCTCGGCCTGGGCAGCTGTAGGGCCCCTGCGCCGCGAAAAGCGGGGTGGGGATGGGGCGGGGGGGAAAAGGGATTGCATGACCTTCGGTCACTAGCTGATTGTCCTGCGTCTGTGGGCAATTCTACTGCGTTGCAGAAAGACCACGCGAGTTCCTGATCCAGGCGCTGGAAAGGGTGAAGGCTGGAAAACGAGCCGAGGGGGAGTACCCTTACCTCATGGACGAGGCCAACCTGGCTGCCATGTTCGAGTTGCTGGATGTTGTAGGCCAAGGCCACATAACACCAGCGCAGTACAGAGAAGGTGCGTCTCACCTGCACAGCAGGTCATACTGAAGTGTTTGTATTTGTTTGCACAGAATTATTAAAATAGTTTCAAAGCTACACATATGTATACTTTAAAGGTATCCACACATCTGCCGATACACAACTTGGAAAGTTTTAAAAGCTACATATTTTTAAGTTACGTATGTTTGCCTTTTATTACATCTAGGCCACTTTAAGATGTTAAATTAATCTTTCCAAGACTTGCATGGGAAATTCTCTTTCCTCAACTTTAGCTCTTAAAACTTTGGGACTGAGCACTGAAGATCTGCAGTTTGGAGGTGATGTGAATATCACGCTGGACGTATTCAAGGAAGAAGTGTAAGTTTAATTGAAAGGGGTTTTTTTTTTTTTGGAGGGGCAGTATGCACAGGAGATATTTTACTGAGATTTGTTATTTACAACACTATATAACTAAAGGACTTGCTGGTTTAAGCTTAACTCCTTTACTTTGCAATGCAAGATTTAAAAAGGTCAGTAACTGCCCAACCTTGCTTGGCTTGCTGTAACCTGAACCAAACTCGGCATTTTCCTCCACTATCTCAGTCTCGGGATCCTCTCAAAGCAGAGCTCTCAGATTACCTACCCCTCAGACCAGACAGACAGTCCTCAGGTAGCCCAGGGGTTCAAATACTGATCTAGAAATGTGAAACAGTGAAGCAGCATTGTCTTCTTTGCCAGAGGTAGTAACACAGCTGTAGATGAAACGAGCTCAGAGTTTGAAATGGTTTAACCTCAGTCAGCAACCAAGTATCACACAGCCACTCACTCGCTCCCCCCCAGCCCTGGTGGGATGGGGGAGAGAATTGGAAGAGTGAAAGTGAGAAAACTCATGGGTTGAGATAAAAACAGTTTAATAATTGAAATAATAATAGCAATAATAATAACAGCAATAATAATGTCGTCGTCGTAGTAGTAATAATAATAATAATAATAATACACAAAGCAAGTGATGCACAATGCAATTGCTCACCACCTGCCGACCGATGCCCAGCCAGTCCCCAGTTTATGTACTGAGTCCCCCCGGCCAGCTTTCCCCAGTTTACGTACTGAGCATGACGTCACATGCTATGGAATGTCCCTTTGGCCAGTTTGGCTGTGCCCCCTCCCAGCTTCTTGTGCACCTCCAGCCTTCTCAGTCAGTAGAGCATGGGAAGCTGAAAAGTCCTTGACTAGTGTAAGCACTGCTCAGCAACAACTAAAACATCGGTGTGTTATCAACATTATTCTCATACTAAATCCAAACCACAGCACTGTACCAGCTACTAGAAAGGAAATTAACTCTATCCCTGCTGAAACCAGGACAGAGTTGTAATAATTTCTCATGGCCAACGTATGGTTCTAGGGGCAATTTTTTGGTAACTCTTGCAATCACTGCAAGGTAACTAACTGGAACTAATTATCTTCATTGTTATCTAACTAGAATTCTTTTTTTTCTGTCTTAGGAAGAAAAAGATGCTGGAGAGCTGGGCTGTGTATTAGTTGGAGCAGTGGTCTGCTCTATATATTAAAAATAGGCACCTTGCTCAATTCTCCTTCTGGTTTGTCAGCTGATTTTAAGCAGTACTCTCTTTTTTTCCTTCTGCACCCCACCCCCCCATTTGAGCAATCAGCTGAAAAGGACAAATAACAGGAACTTGTTCATGTTTACCAGGCACTGGAGAGTTCTCTCTTGAGAATTGCTTTTCTTAATACACTTAGATGGTTAAAAAAAAAGTGCTTGGACTTTCCTCCTTCAGTTTGTAGCTTACAGTAAGGGGTTGCTACTTGTTTGCTCATTACCATTGAATAAAATTAACTTTAAGCATTGAGCTGTTTCTTCAGGTGTTTTTTATTTTTTGGGCTTGTGCTGTTTTAAAAAGGAAAGACCAACTTCAGCAAGTTATGACAAGTGTCCACAGTTGAAGAAAGGTAGCACTTCCAACTATTTATGCAATTTTTAAGGAGAAACTTTAAAAATTAAATAGGAGAGACTCTGATACAGGAAAGAAAAAAAAAAAGAAAGTGACATATTCCTTCATTGCTTCCTTCTGTGTTCTGTATATACACATTTTAACACAGAACATCCATTACCTGGGATTTAGAGATGTAAAACATCTGTGTTTAAGTGAAGGAACAGTTGTCTGTATTGTACACAGGTGTATTTACACTGGAAATATTCTGTATTCTTTAGAATGATGTTACAGCACACAACACTGACAAGGCAGACACATGCACTAGAGATGAAGACGGTTTTAGCTTCTAAATGCAATGGCAAGGTGGCTATGGAAAGTAAGATCTGCGCAGTTCGAAACCAAGTCAGTAGCATTTTGAAAATTTTTTTAAATGGTATACAATAAGGCATAAGATTAGATTAAACCAGTCGTTCAGCATACAGTGTTGAAAAAAATAACTCAAGTATATTACAACATACTTGCTTTGCTTTTGTTTGAAATAAGTAATCTAGACCAAGTTATTAACCATTTCTGAAGAAGTCTTTATTTTCCTGTATTTGGCCAACTAGCTCTCAAATTGAGAAGAATCTCAACATCCCTTTGAGCTAATTTATAGACTCCAAGTTCATTTAGTGCTGCTGTTGCAGATGGCTGGTTGGGCTTTAATGTTGTTTCATTTTCTGAAGCTGACTGTAGTACATCCTTCAGAAGCAAGGCAGAGCCAATATTCAGGTTCAGGATAATGCAGGCTTCTTTTATGCTAGAGGAAAAAGTTATATGGATTAATATGAGAAGCACCTATGAGATAATCACTGTGTGCACAAAATTAAGTGTTACAAAAACACCTCCATGGACTTATGAAAAGGATCAGAAGTATTGAACTGAAACGTACTGCTTAGATCAAGGCAAATAGCGTACTTGTTCTTACACATACGTAAGGGAAAAGGCTTAGACAGTATTTCATAAGTGTCAATATTTTGCCTCCCAGTGCTCAGCATGGCTTTTGCTTCTTAAGTTTTTCCACCAGTATTAAAAATACAGAACGGAATTTACCACTTAATCTGTCTAGCTTTCCCTAACTACATTTTCCCCTAAGATAATTAGAAACTTCTTATTCAGCATATTTTAAGAGCACAGTTTAACAAACAGTTGCTAGAATCTGAACATTTTCCCTAATTAATATCAGTAGGGAGCAAACACCCTGTCTTTGTCACATTGTTTCTAGTCTAAATATGATAGATAGCCATGTACCCATTCTGCATTATTTCTTACGGTTCCTTTGTGCATCTGTGTCCTCTCACGCTGGGAATAATACGTATGTATCAATTACCTTTATGAAGGTGATGCGTGCTCAAAAAAAAAATTAAACCTGAAGATGTTACGTGAATATTCCAATTAAAAAATACCAATATATGATCTTTGTCTTCAAGGGTTCAAGACTGAATGTGATGCTCCATATTGATTTAAAAATATTAAGATTTCTGCCCCAGTTAGCCTAGGAGTTTAGCACTGGACCCTTTAGAAGACTGTGGGCTATTTAAAAGAGACTAACCACAAAGAAGGTAGCTTCTCATCGATGAAAGCAACTAGACTGCTATGCAAGGCAATTCTGAGCGGGAATATAGTTTAAAGTAGTCTTTCTTCTAACAATAAAGAAAGTTTATTCTGTTGTAACTATATCTTTGCATAGTTTCTTTAGCCCCAGTTTTGCAAGTCTGTGCAACTTACATTCCTTCCTAAGTTAATTTATGTAGACATCCTGAGCGCACAAAATACTCCAGAACACATGCCACAGTCTGTTGCTGTCAGAGTGCGTGCTGCAGAATCAAAACTTTCCTAGTTGTAAACACTGGAAGCATAAGTGATCCACATATTTTAAGTGTGGATCAAAACTAACTGTGAAGAAATCTTGGTGATACGTAAAACACACGTATTCATCTGGACATTCACTTTTGACATACCAATAGATCAGAAGTTTGCCTACTTACTGCTTGAAGTAGTTTTCTGGCCTCTTGCAGTAGTGTGAAAATAAAGGGAACAGATTTCTACTCATGTCAAACTGGAGTTGTGCTGCTCCTCCTTCATTGAAATGATTTGCCATTATTATCTACAAACACAGAGAGGTGCATCCACTGTTTAGGCCAGTCACTTGCACCTACACTGTATTGCATAGGTCACATTCTGCCGATACCTACTTCCTGATATATGTATATATCCACTTTCTCTGCAAGCATTTGCCAGAAGACTTTGAACAGTGAGTGACAGAGCTGCTGTTCTAGTTGTAGCAAGCGGTCTCGTAGGGTCAACAACATTGGGCAAGCTGTGCTTGATAAAGACATTACTGCTTGCTCTGCTTGAGATGGTAAAGATAACCACCTGAAAGAAATTATCACACTGAAGTCATTGTAATTAAATTATTCCTATTACAACAACTGAAGTTAAAATTATCCTTTAAAAGAAAGAATCTTACTCATTTACAATGGTTCAGAGAGAGTTCTCCTTACTTTTAGATTTGAAATGGGAAATCACAGTCTAATGGTATGTTTAAATTTCATTTAATATTAAACTCATGCCTTTAGTTACAAATCTCTGAACGTGCCATTCAAAGAAACCCCATCTAATCTAGAAATCATTGAGTTGTTGTATTCCTTTTATGAAGTACTTCAGAAATTCTACTCAGGAGCAAACATTCGAGAAGCCCTATGAGTCTGTGAAGACAGAACAGTCATTACAGGCCATTTCATATTAACTCTTTAATACTACTATGAAGAAAATAATTCTTGTCTAAACTAGAATGATCCAGAATTCTTCCTAGGGTTTTTAAGATAATGGGCCCACTAATTGTGGAACTACTTCAGAAAGCATAGCATTAAAATAGTCTTGAAGTAAGTGTTAAGAGAATTTTTCAAAACTTACTACCCTGCACCGTTCCTATTCAGGAAAACAATTTTGCCTATTAGCTATTCCTGCCTTTATTTACTTCAATATTTTTAACAGGAAATAACATTGCAATATGGGAGGAGAGTAAACAGACAGAATCACCTCTCTTTTTTGTACAGCTTTGCGGCATCTTTGACCTCTCTGAAGACATGATCTACTTGACGAGTCAGCATGTCATGTTTCAGGCGTTCCAAGAGGTTAATCATTTCATCAAAGACAGAACTCTCCATTGAAGCCAGCTGCCCTAGCTGTAGTTTACTGACAGTGTTACTTTCTGCACTAACCTCCAGTTCGGCCTGCTGTAGCTGCAAGAAAAACTACAGAAACAAAACCAGATATGAATACTACAAAAAAAAAAATATCTTACCATTTTAACTTTTCATTGGTACTTTAATAGGCACGGTTCTAGAAAACACGCTCCTGACACATTTATAAACTTAAAATTTTAAGACTTTAAAAACACTTTCTTATCTTTCCCCGTGGTCCTGATTTACAGGAAAAACAAGATTTCCTGAAAAACAAGACACAGTGGTTTAATCCTAGTGATGGAACCGATACAGGTTTCAGATAGAACAGCAGATAGGTAATGGGAATAGATCTAGAGAAGTACTAAAGAGATATTTTAAGACTGACAGCAGAATGCTTAAAAAAACAACAAACTGCTTTTGACCTTTTTAATGTTTGCAAAAGTAAACTAGAATCTTTAATTGTAATTTGTTTTAGCAATAATCGTTCATTAAATCTAAATTTGCTGGGCTGACAACAGCAAGAAAATGGATCGAGTTTCATGTGACATAGTGGTAGCAACTTGTTGGTTTTGCTTTCAAGCAGATCAAGATGCTTAGGTAAATGCAGCTATACAACATGAAGGCTGCTGCCCTATCAAGTCAAGATTATCCTCTGCTAGAGCCACAGTTTCCTATGAAAACAAAAAGAATTTGGAGGCTGCCCACCTTGCACACAATACCTATTTCTACACTTTACCTGTAACATTTTTTTTGACGTTTTGTACCAATAACCATAGAAAAGCTGAAATGCTACAGAATAGCCATGCTGCCACCAGGCTATTATATAGCAAAATAATTAATTCCCAATTCCCAGTTATCAGCAAGTGGCTTTTCTGAGCAACACCTAAACGGTGTTGCAATGCAAATACCTATGCTGGATCCATTTAAGCTAACCTGCCATGGGAGTAGTTCAAGCATCGTGCGTAGGCTACTGCACGCACTTCAACATCAATGCTGTTAATACTGGCTCAGGGATCTCCAAAATCAACTCACTAATTTTTTTACAGTTCAAAGCATGTAAAGGAGACTTTTTTGTCTGTTCAGATTATTCAATTTCCCAGGCTCTCTTTGCATTTCCCTAGAAAGTTTAGAATTAATACAGCTTAGATCTCAAACAATAATCTGTCCTTATTTATACATCTTTTATTAAATCTTAATTTACATCTCATTCTATTTTTTCAGTAATTAATTCTTCTGAAAACACTTTTAATTCTTCTGAATACATTAGATAAACAGTGCTGAAAATAAAATGTTTGTTATGAAACAAACATCCAAAGTTCATCTTTTAAATTTTTTTTCTTTTTAAGTAAAATAATTACTTACTACATTGTCAGCCCAGTCCGCCAACACTGTCGCTATATAGTTAACAGCATTAAGGATCGCACAGTATCGGAAGCCTAAGGAAGCTCTAGTCTCTTCCTTCATTACTTGAGTTAATCGTATCCTGAAATCATCAACTAACTCCTTCTGTAGGCCCAGGAACTGTAGTTTTCTGGAAGCCGTTGGAAGATTCTTATACCTGTCTGGAAAGACATGAATAAAATGTTTTTAGATTTTCCAAGACTGAATAAAAGCTTTTCAAAAAGAAACATTACAGTCATCTTACTTCACAACCTTACGCCATTTAGTATTTAAAACAGCTGACATTTTAACAATTTCAGGGAAACTACTCAACGCAAAAGCTAAACATGTAAAGAAACGACATTCTTCCCCCTCCTGATTCCACTAGCATTTTGTATTCTAATACTTTAAGCGATATGTGATTATACCACACCATCCAGCGTGGCCCCTAAAGTGTATTCACAAACAGTAAGATAAAGCCATTGAATATGCAATTAAGTGTCTCCTGAAAACTTACTTGCTCTTATGTTCTGTTCCAAGAAAGCAGACGTTACTCAATAGCTTCTAAATTGTCACAGAGTCAAAAGGAGTAATAGGATTTTTTTATTACTGCACTGTAACAAATTATATTATCTCAAGTATGAACGAGTTTTAATATGCTAAATATCTTATGTATTTTTTTAATTATTATTCTGCAAACATGTCACTAGCTCAAGATTATTCATGCTTGAGTTGGTGTCCAAAATAGAAAATGAACAGGAAAGCTTTTATTAAATTGCAAACATCACAACTTTACAACATTATTTGGTGACTACTGCTGACAATGGATATTTAGTAAAGAAACCTGATAGCTGAAGTT